CTGGCTACCATGAGAGATTCGTTCATGAGGCCATTCACATATACAAGCACAGAGACAATTTCAACCGAGAAGATGGATTCAGGCTTAGTAACCACTGGAAAGATGTGTTAAATCATTTCTGTTCTTAATTAATTGTAATTTTACGATGACCTTCAGACCGCAGCTCTTTCGCCAGCATTGCCTCTTAATACCTCTCACACCACGGTTAATGGTATGGTTTACAACATGGAGTATACTAGGGCTTCGCAGCTGTCTCTCTCCCCCTCCTCTGTTCCGACCATGGACGAACTCGTCCGTCTGAACGGGGCCCGTAGCTATCCGTGGTACGGAAATTTGAGGGTAAGAATCCACCCATTTTTTTCGCCATATAGCATTGTGATATATAACGACTTATGGTTGGTAGCTTAGCTGATTGGAGAATATAGAGTTTATTGATAACATGAAGGTAATTTATATTTTAGTTTTTATTGGTTCACTATATAGTACTGTGAATAGCTCAGATGTGTAGGCATTTCTGTGACCAGTCACTAGCAAATCACCCAGTTATTTCAATGCTAAATTCGCCTAGTTATTTCAATGCTAAATTCTCCTGTTTTGATTTGTACTAAGTGCCTCGGTGAATGTGTATGCTCTGACTTCAACGTAACTATTTCTGTAGCAGTTACAAGCGAATGCCTTAATTTAGCTATTTCAATGCTAAATTCTATGCTAATTCCTTTTAACAATGGGTGCCTCTGCGGATGTGTATGCTTTAACTTTTAACATAGCTATTTCTGTGACCAGTCACAAGCTAATCATTCAGCCTTTTCAATGCTAAATTTTATGCTAATTCCTTCGTCAAGGCTCTTTGTTCCTCTCACACAGCTTAAAAGCCGTGATCTGAACGTGGCTCTCTCACTCCAGCGCTGTCCTACCAGACAGTCTCGCTCCCTTCACCTGATGAAGGCCGCTTGTGTTGTGGCCGAAACGTCGTGAGAATATTATTGTGTTATTTTATTTTATCAATTTATTATTTTATTCTCATTCTACGTGACTTTACCGAAAGAACCAAAGAAGATGATATATAGTTCTTTTTTCAGAAGAGACCTGGCCACAAATGATAGCTCAACGAAGTGGCTTATCACGTGGAAATGTGCACGGAAAACCGGAGGACCCGATCCACGCGGCCACGGCGAGAGAGATAAAACGAGCAAACTCCAGGTATATACAGCAGCAGGCGCCAGGGTCGGAATCGAACCGACGGCCTCCTGCATACCAGGCGAGCGAGATCAAATCTCCCTCGCCTGGTATGTAACCGGGTTATCTAGTGTGGTGAGTTGATGGTCTCAGCCCGGTAAACAATAACTGCACAAATGAACACGCCATCATATTGAGTTTCAATTTGGTTAAATGAAAATATCGGTTTGACTATCCCAAGCAGTGAACCTTCAAGTAACCGAGCGAGTGGGGCAATGCTGCCCACTGCTGTACTGCGCCGGTAGACCCTGCGATGGCAGCATCAGCGGCTGTGAGCCACTCTCTTTCACGGAGTTTCAAAACTCTCAACTCCATGTCGTCTGTCACAGTCAAACTGCGACGTTAACCCTCTAGGCGGTATATACACAGGCGCACGCCCGTGATTCAGCGCTCTGAAGGCAGCGGTAGCGAGGGTTGATGGATCACGAACGGACGTTGTGGAGACTCCCTTCCACCCGTGGACGTCTGGGAAGTGCCGTACCGTGGCTCACCAGGAGACGGCAGTAGATTACAGCAAAAATGTTAACTCTACCTGCTCCGCCTGTACACGATACAGTGTTTCCCCCTCGCACGCGGGGATTTTCTCCGGTTTCCTGTATGCTGAACTTCTTTCGCAACGTACGTAGACAACCGTGCTACGTACAGGGGGCGTAAACGCTTTAATTGGCCTATAACACCTACCTTGAGATATCAAGAACCGCAGAGCTTGGGCAATTGTTGGTGGTGCCAGCTCGTCCACGCCACCACGTGGCTGCTGCCTTCCTGCTCCTCGTCTGTGGCTCCTCCTCCTCCTGACGCCTCTGGGTCGCCCCCATCCCTCTGCGAGCGATGAGCGGGTACCGTGCGGTGGCGGCGCAGTTGAGATGATGATTATTGACTTGACGCTTTCGTGACTGCAGGAATTCATACTGTTTGGGTCTTTCGGTAAAGTCACGTAGATAGGAAAATAATAAAATAATAAAATCACGACGGAGCTTGCAAATTCCATCTGTAGCTCCGCCCACTTATCCTTGGTTTTTAACCTTTGGCTGCAGTAGCTCGCTACATTTCTTCCTGCCTCAGCAGTCCGCCTGCTGTATTTTTTCACCTGAAGACGATTGCTTGTATTGCGATCAAAACGTCGTGATTTTTTATTATTTTATAATTTTTCCATCTACGTGACTTTACCGAGAGACCCAAAGAGTATGATGATTATTATGATAAAAGATTGACAAAATTCAAACCAGGAGCTTCTCCAGACTCCCTCAAATATTTGTGAGGCATAATTACAAATCGAATCAATTCTGTCACTCCCACACCATTGGTATACATCTGTACGTGTGTGTCTTTGTCGTGTGTATGTCTCGATGGAGTGGTAGGGAAGGAGGTTCTCTCTGACGAACCCAGCCACCCGAGTTCGATTCCTGCTCATGGACAACACCAGTAACGATAAATTGAACCGGTCCTGGACCTCCCCTAGGTCGACTCATTGCCACTGGGGAGACAAAGGCAACCAGGGCATGGTTGTTGGCCCACCCACCCCCTCGTGTGCCATGCCGGCCTTCATAGATGCTCGCTAGCAGCACCTTGCCCCTACAGTGTTAAGATGAAAGGGGATGCTGCACCTGTTACACTCCTCCATCTTTTAGTCTTTGAGCTTCACCTCTTTATACTTTTATTATATACACCAGGAGATGTTCGGGGGCGCCTATGGCGCCCCTCACAACCATTTATGGCCTTCGGCCAGGACAGTCACCAAGAAAATTGCACACGAACGACGCATTCACGCAGGCACCCGATGCTCTGTTTTGAAGTTTTAAAATGAAACATCTTTGAATTGTATTATGTTTTGAATTAGATAATTGTATTTCTTCATTCAAAGCTTATATCATTTTACATCTGGAAGACTTCATTGAAAACGACATTTCGTGTGAATTTTCTCTCGTCGTTAAGTAGATGGCCTTGCTGGGGGTTCGGTTCGATGCGGACTTCCACCTGTTTGGGATTGCGGGACCGAGATAAGGCGACGTGGAGCTGCTGGCCGTGCGAGAAGACCGCCGTCTGCAGATCGATAACAACGTGATCGAACGTCTGTCCCTGCGCCTCCGTCGTTCATGCAGGGGACACGTGGGTTTGTAGCGCCCCCTGCATGAAAACGACGGAAAGTGCAGCGTTCATCACAGATAAAGTTGTGCGCTTTTATCAGAGTATTTATTATTGTTTTAAAGTCGCCTTCTAGTTTTCGAGTATTACACTCGAGTAGTTATGTTTAGCTTCATCACTGAAAGCTGCTGATCCCCGGGTCTGAGCTGTTGCTCTTCGGGCCTGCCTGGGCAGCCCTTTCAATATGAATTTTGCACTATCCAATGTTCCTTTACTCACCAATAAATCATTTGTGATAAATGACCTCATTACGGAACGTAAGCTAGAGTGCGTGTTTTAACAGAAACCTGGTTAAATAATGACGCCCCCCACCGCGTGCTAATGGAAGCTTCTCCCGCGTGCTATAGTTTCTCACATTCTGTTAGGCAAGGTGAAATGACAACGACTGCGTACTCGGAGCCTCTTTATTTTAGACACAACACTAGGCACGGGCTTCGTTCTTGACCTTGAAGCTCCTCGTCCCTTCCCTGGAATGTCCTCGCTCCTCGTGCTCTTTTTTGTTTATCCTTCTCGAGGCCCCCTTTCTCGAACTTTCCCTCACTGTTTTTGTCGCAGCCAATCCCTCTCCTCCAACGGTTCCCAACCGTCACCCCCGGGTTCCACTCTCCCGCTTTTTGCCGTTTGCATCTTTCCTCCAATCTTTTCAAACACTGCCTCCCGACCAATCATTGTGGAGGCATACAGTGAGGGAAAAAAGTATTTGATCCCCTGCTGATTTTGTACGTTTGCCCACTGACAAAGAAATGATCAGTCTATAATTTTAATGGTGGGTTAATTTGAAAAGAAAAAAATCCACAAAAACGCATGTCAAAAATGTTATTAATTGATTAGCATTTTAATGAGAGAAATAAGTATTTGACCACTCTGGAAAACATGACTTAGTACTTGGTGGCAAAACCATTGGTGGCAATCACAGAGGTCAGACGTTTCTTGTAGTTGGCAACCGGGTTTGCACACATCTCAGGAGGAATTTTGTCCCACTCCTCTTTGCAGATCTTCTCCAAGTCATTAAGGTTTCGAGGCTGACGTTTGGCAACTCGAACCGTCAGCTCCCTCCACAGATTTTTTTATGGGATTAAGGTCTGGAGACTGGCTAGGCCACTCCAGAACCTTAATGTGCTTCTTCTTGAGCCACTCCTTTGTTGCCTTGGCCGTGTGTTTTGGGTCATTGTCATGCTGGAATACCCATCCACGACCCATTTTCAATGCCCTGGCTGAGGGAAGGAGGTTCTCATCCAAGATTTGGCGGCTTATGGCCCCGTCCATCGTCCCTTTGATGCGGTGAAGTTGTCCTGTCCCCTTAAGCAGAAAAACACCCCCAAAGCATAATGTTTCCACCTCCATGTTTGACGGTGGGGATGGTGTTCTTGGGGTCATAGGCAGCATTCCTCCTCCTCCAAACACGGCGAGTTGAGTTGACAATTCCAAGCATAAGAGTTTGCATATTAGAGTGTTAAGGTTTTGTTTAGAAATTTAAATTCCTTAACACAAGACGTGTCTGCGTGGTGCCTTCCTAAGTTCATGCATAATAATCTTAATAATAAGAACTGTATCCTGCAGTGAGATTTGAATTTGGAGACCTGATATAAACACACTAATACATAATCAGTAAATGTTAAAGCGAGAATAATTGTATTATACCGATTGATTATACAACCCTAGACAACGAAGCCGAGCTTAATCTAGCATACTTACATCACACCTGCATAACTTCATACAATTAATTGTCTTATCCCGATTGATAATACTTCCCTCGACAACGAGGTTGAGCCTAATTATCATAACTGATCTCATTAGCATAATCGCATACATTCGGATAAATCAATATGGTTATCTCGAATTAGCATAATTTATGCACAAATTATATCACTTAACATATTTTAGGATATTCTTAGTTTTTTTGGTAAAGTCACGTTGAAGAGAAACAACAAAATAATACAATATAAGAATATAAGAATATGAATATGAATTACTGTAGTCACGAAAGCTTTAAATCAAAATTTATATTTTAGGATAGTTACGCATTATTCCAAATTTCATTTAAATTTTATTATTTTCATTAAATTTTCATATCCGGCATATACAACACCTCACAACCACGAAAAGTAAAAATCCCTGAAATGTTTGGAAATCCTCACTATAAAATTCCCTTTTCACACTCGTGCAGAGAATATTAAACCGATCGGAAATCTGAATTACCCACAGTGGCAGTTCAGATTTGTATTTGTCTCAACCGTGAATGATTGTCTTTTAATGCGGCACGGCGCCCAAACCACAAATCGGCCGTGCGGCATCCCTACAGCCCCTCTAGTCTCTCATCCTCCAGACACATGGTGAGCAACTCCCTTTTGAGCTTGCAGAACGGCGGTCGCTTCCGATGCTCGAAGTTCCAGCAGCGCTGCATGATGTGGTACACCACATTGGGGCACGCGTCGGGCCTCTTCAGCCTTCCGCCACATTTGATAAGATCCTGTACTTGCTGCTTATCCATGTCTGCACACACACCACACAACAACTGTTGGTATAATAGAACAATAATAACAATAATAATAGTATAGTAATCACGTCAACAACGCACGTTATCCGCTCGACAAATTCATCAATAATTACAAAATGTTACTAAATAAACTGATTTGTATAAAAAGTAAAGATTATGAAATGTTCTCGATTTGAAGCTTGCGTGGCTGCAAGGATCCATACTCTTTGGTTCTATTCGGTAAAGTCATGTTATTTTATTTTTTACCTACGTGACTTTACCGAATAGAACCAAAGAGTATTATGAAATGTTGCTGGCACGATGCATTGTGGGGAAAGTTTGGTCTCGTGAGGACAACCATGCTGGGCCCCCAGGTCACCTGCATACGGACGCTTGCCATCGGTGAACAGTTCATAGAGAAGCACTCCGAACGACCACACGTCCGACTTGCGCGTGAACTTCAACTGAATCAAGACCTCGGGAGCCATCCACTGGAACGGGACAACATGGCCTGTTGCGTCATAGTACTCCTCCTGCGGAGAGACGAGCGGAACACGGCGATACATCAACGGCAGCTTTAGCCAAACCAACTCGTACAAAACTAATAATGATTTAACAGGGCACATTAATTCAGTTGTCATGTGAACACTTCCTGCTGCTTTGTGGGCTGTGTCGGATGGAAATATATTTAGATAAAAAATATATTTTCAGCCCTTTATCAATCAGCTGCCGGTCGGAGGCCTCTTAATGGCCAAATTTCTCATAGGAATATGTTTACCCATACTTCACCAAGCAGGTCAGTTCAAGTTGGTCAAGTGAAGACCCAGGACCAGTTCACATATCACTTACTGCCGATATATTGATTGAAAATGCACGTGGCTAAGACAAACAAGATGAGGTCCAAAATACTAATAATGGAGCAACATTATGTTGAAACATTCAATGGCCTCTGAGTCTTCAGTGTTCAGCTGTGGAAGACGTCCAGAGAGTCCAGCACAGGAAGAGCAAACCACCCTGTGTGTGTGTGTGCAACAGCATCTCCCACGGTCTACATCACTGCATCTGCACAGTTGGGCCATTCTCCAATGCCCTAGAAACGTGTAGCTACAGCTCAAGAGTAGTACTTTAATGACAGAGAGTGGTCTCTTGCCTGGCTCTGGTACACCAATCACTTTGGATCTGAGCAATATTTTGCGTTTCGTGCTCTCCTGTATGACGTGAGACTTGAAGATGGAGAGTCCGTGGCTGTTACTTCCCAGATGTTGTGGGGGTTCAGGTAATAATACATCGTCAAATCCAGGGGATTTCCCTACCTTCATTGAAATAATTTCCTGGTATATTTATTCTATTGAAAACGACTGGAAGCTTTCATTCGGATAGATCTGTGGAGATGTCTTCTCGTAACGCCAAGTTTGTTTACAATCGATGCCTCGAAAGTTCTGACTTTGCTCTGCCTGGGCCACTTTGGACAGGTATACCATACCAACACTCCCGTTTTAGGAGACCTCTTGACATGAGTCTGGGTTAGGGCTTTGTGTTTAGCCGAGCTTCCTAACGACCAAGTGTCTATGCTCTGTTGCTTAGAGGTCGTCCACCTACTGACGTCGCGTCTCCCCAATGGGATCTTCAGGCTGGCCTTCACGCCATCAAGGGGTGCTATAGGTGGCTACTTGTGGATGATTGGATTGTCCATACCTCCTACGTATCTCTGCATATTCTTCATTCAGACAAGGTAGCTATATTGATTTTATTTTGGCAAACCACATGGAAGAGGGTTACAGTCTGTATGTCTGTTGAACTTCTTTCGCACCGTAAGTAACCAACCGTTTTAATTGGTGGTGTGGAGAAAGGACAACAAACTAAACACAAAGAAAGAAGTGAGTTTTGAGTGTCCATCTCCTGCGATGTGTGGCGTACACACTCATACATTGGTCAATGAGCTTAGTGTACACTGTTCTGGGCTGCCTTTTATAGTTTTAGCATTTTAGCTGAGACATTTCAGGCAATGGCCCTTCTGTGAACTAGCCCCATAGCCAAGATTCCACCTATCATAGAAACGTACATATATTACTATTCTAGTAAGGCCACTGTTATTGACGAGTGTCTGCAGTTGTGTGTCTGTGCACCACTGCCAATGGAGCAGCAGCACCAAATAACCTGTAGAGCTCTAATGGCACTTGGGACTAATGGTCATTGGTCACTCTTGGAAAATCAGCCCATTTTCTCTAACATCGTGCCGTTGTTAGAAAAACAGCGAATGCACGTGTTAATGAGGGGGAGTACCTTTAGTTTGTGGGACAGTCCAAAGTCGGCCACCTTGCAGATGTTGTGTTGTCCCATCAGGATGTTTCGGCCCGCCAGGTCGCAATGGATGCACCTCTTCTTACTCAGGTAGGCCATGCCACTTGCTATCCCGAACGCCATGTACAGCCGCTCGACCTCGCTCAATTCGTGTCCAAAGCGACCTGCAAATCACAAATCGAGAGCCAGCCGAGACTGTCAGGGCGAAATTCCACTTCATCCCACTTCCACTTCTCCCTTTCTTTGCCAGTAATCGAACATTTTAAATGGAAATGTGAGAGAGGCGTTCTGGAATCTGCCTGATGATGGTGGCTAATGAGGCTTTAGCGGTGTACCCAGGTAGTGCAGCATATTTCCGTATGGCACCAGCTCCGTGACGATCCAGTAGGGCCACTTCTCCTTACACACGGCGTAAATCTGAAGGACGTTCTCATGCTTGAAGGAGATCATGGTCTTCACCTCCTTCATAAACGTGTCGAAGCTGGAATCTGTAATAAAACATTTCAGAATCTCTATTTATCCTGGAGGAATCTGATGAGCTATGAAGCTCTTTTTCACAGATGTCTAGTAAGGGCGGGTTAGTGAGTTACATCAACAAACAATAAAACAACGCTATAAGAGCAACATTAATAAAAAGTAAGCAAATCGCAAAAAAGTGTATATAAAGTTTAGAAGTACAAATTGCACAAGTACATATATATTCCTGCCGATTTGTCAACACCAAATGCAAGCTTGGCAAGGCAGCAAAACAACAACAGTCCCAGACCACACCATTCCAACACACAGTCCCTCGATTACATTGATGAGCATAAACCATCACGCAAACTCTGGTCATCCTCACAACGGCTTTTGGCTAACCATTACAAACGTTCACTGCATCGCACAATTCCAGATGCACTTCTGCAGCCGCGTAGAACACTCTTCCTTCTGATATTAAGAATATATTGGAGTTATACACTTACAAATCTCGATTTAAAAAGCATTTCTTTAGAATTGCTTTTCCTGTTAAGTTTGTCCTTTCCCCGCACCTCTGATCAACACAGTTGGCTACGTACGGTACGAAAGAAGTTCAACATAAGTACATACACTGCCTTTACTGCACAAAGCTGCACTGCGGATGGTTGGTATGCCCCGAACCCACACCATATGTTGGCTATTTTCAAGAGAGACTAATGCACGTATATAACGGCTTTTAAATGTTTCATTATCTGTTGGCTGTACTATGTTGACTGGACTTGACAAAGCCGATCAGTGGTGTTAAGGGCCTCCCCACTCGCTGCTGGCTGGCAGTTGGGGTCGTTTTGGCCATACCACGCCGGTCAGCGTGGGTTTGAATGGACGCGCGTGGCTACGCGCACAGCCACTCACTCGTGCGCACGATCTTGATCGCAACGTCCGTGGTGTCGTTCCATCGGCCCTCGTACACCTCGCCGAAGTTGCCCCTGCCGAGTAGATTCCCCATCTTGATGGAGGATCGAGGAACGTGCCACGTGTTCATGAGCTCCACACTGAGGTCCGAGATGGGCGGCGCCGACTCCTGGAACGCAAGCAGGAGGGTCACGCGTTGCCGTTCACACGCAACGCACGTCCAGCCCGATCACCGAGCATGGGGCGAGAAGCAGAAGCGACGACCACAAATCCACCCCGCACTGTTGGCTGGAGCACACGCCGCCCACGCCAGGGATTCTTGGCTTTCAACAGAATTCTAGCAAGTTGCCCGATGATATTAGATGCAATTACCAGCGAAACTTCGTACTCAAAAATCGTAAATGTTGTGGATTCACTCTTCAACACACCGGTGGGCTAAAGTAGTGAACTATTTTGTCTTTTGTCAACGTGTCACTGTTTTACTGATTGGCCGTGTCGGGTGGTGGAAGGTTACGACACATTTATAAATAACGCGATCTAACCCAAAAACGTTTATTATGAATAATATTGGTCGCGAAAGCCTACGTGTTAAATTCTTGGCTTGCCACCCAGGGCACCTACTGGTGGCAGTGCCCATCATCCAACAACGGTGCCACCTCCAACATCCCCCCCACCGCCACAGGGTGCCCCCCCCCCCTCCATCGTGCGTGGCACCCTCCGGCCCCCTTCCCTAGCGCTCCCCAGTGCACCCCATCCCCTACCCTCCCACTGTTAACATCCCACTAAGTAGTATTAACAATGAATACTAGTTAGCGGGACATTAACAGTGATCATCCTCATCCACGTTTGTGTTTGTGATCATTAGTTCCACTGCTGGATAAAGGTCTCCCATGCTGTTTTTACCATACTTCACCATCCTGCTCAGTCATCGGATAGCGAAGAGGGAGTCTCAAGACTGGTTCGGATATCTCTTGCCGCTAACGTTAGCCGTAGGAGGGAATTGAACTCGGGTTTGCTTGGTTCAACGCACACACTACACACCGTTGTGTGTGTGTACGTGTGTGTACGTGTGTGTACGTGTGTGTACACTGCGTAATGACGTCGGTGGGGGATACTTGACCGTGGCCGATCGCCACAGGTGGGTGAAGGTGGGCAGCATATCTGCGGGAGCGTAGAGCTACAGTACAACAGCGCGCACACAGTTACACACGAGCCGGGCGAGCACAGTCACAGGTCACCTTCTCGCAAGGCTCGGTCAGTTGACCAATCTGCTGGTTGTAATGCGCGGAGTGATGCTCCACCAGACTCTCAACGGAGGGGAAGGTTGCATCTTTGGTGAAGCCGAATTCTCCATCGTCAAAACAGTTGATTTTGACGTGCATTACCTCGTCCTCCTTGAGCACTGCGGAGGGGAGCGAGAGAGTGGGGTTAGCGCAGGCCAGTGAGACGGGAGAAATGCCATCTCACACCCCTGGTACAGTGCCCTAAGTTAATTTAACACGTCGGCTTTCGCAACCAATATGATCCATAATAAAGGTTTGTTTTTGAGTTAGGTTTGTCAAACCTTACTCATTCGCTGTGTTGGGTGGTAGCAGGTTTAACGACGCATTCATATTTACGCAACCTAACCCAATAAACATGTATTATGCCTTAAGTTAGTTTGGGATTAAGTGTACAAAAATTATCATCACAACTCGCTGACTCTGCATCTTCCCAATCCACGCGGCCTCCACCAGCTGTGGCACTTGGCTGCCGTGCCCACACGTGGGTGCACAGCAGCCACCGCAACTCCTGGCCCGCAGGGGCCCAAGGGGTGCCAGGCCACGTGCAGGGGGCGGGCAGGCGGGAGGGAGCGAGCCAGCCCCTCGCACGGGCTGCTTGCAGCGACGGCGCCATCCGTCTACGGCGTCGTGCACGGCAGATCGGGCGGCCACGATCGGAAGGCGCTCGCCGCTCGTGCGACACCGAGGCAGTGACGCCCGGCCCACACCGACCAAGGCAGCACGGCACCGGGCTGCGGATGACTGCGCGGGAGGGGGGGGGCTCGTTGCCTTGGAGCGGCGAGCCGCCTGGCTCCCCTGTACGGCTCACCGGAGAGCACGTAGGTGTTGGGCAGCGTGCGGGCATTGCGGATAAGGAAGCGCCCTTCCTCTTTGGGCTTCTTCATCAACAGCTGCACCGACTCCTCTCTCTGCATCTGCCCAAAGAACCACCTGCACGGGAGGGAGATAGAGAGAGCGGCGCGTAGCGCGACACGGCGTTAAAGAGGCCGAGCGGTGATAGCGGTGCAATGATTCTCCTAATTACTACACAGGGCATAGGCGGAGTTTGACTTTATAATTGGTGGGGGGGGCAAGGGGGCTTAATAACAAGATCATTTTTTAACTACAAGCGATCGTCATCCGGTGATCGAAACGTCGTAGTTTTTTGTTTATTTTAGTTTTACTAACTTGAACCTATCTACGTGACTTTACCGAAAGACCCAAAGAATATAAACGCTAAGATACTTTTAGTATCTTACTCAGATTGTAAATGTTGAGGCTTGGCTCTCCAACACACCGGTGTGCTGTACTAATTGGCATGTTCTGTTTACGTGACAACCCCTACTAGTTGGCTGTGTCGGGTGGTGGTGGGTTTTAACGACACATTTATATATTTACGCGATCTAACCCCAAAACAAACCCCTCTATTATGGACACTTGTAGTAGGTAGGTCTATCTTCCGAACGCACAGCTTGTTCACTAGCTACAGTTACAGTGCACGAGTGTACTTGAAATAACAATTTTAGTTTACGTTCATTAAGGCCTATTTATATCGTGATTTTAGAAGGGGAGTGGCTGTTCTCAGGTTGGAATTCCCCACGCTTTGTTTAGCTCAACGAGTTCACTTGGTTGGTGTGAGCTGCGGGGGCGAGGGACTTTCCATGCAGCCTGTACAAGCATTCAACAAAGTTAAATACACATGATTATTAAATTACAAATGTCAGATTCCCCCCCCCCCCCCACCATGACAAATTATAATCCAAAGGTGATTTCGAGACACCAAAAGGCGCGGCTGTGACCACGAGATGGGGCCCTTTCAGTCGTGCCCGGTGATCGATGCGTAGCCCCGTGGGAGGACCACCGACCCAGAGAGAGGGAGTCACACAAACTGTGGCCACGTGACTGTTGTCTCTGTTCGCAGCTTCCACGCACTCCTGCGTGTCGATGATACTCATGATTCACGTGGAGAGCCGCTTTTGATCAGTCTCTGACCAACGGGGTTCCCAGACGGCAGCAGACAGCTTGAGACAGCATGGAAGCTGTGCCGTCAGGGCTCAACGTTCCGAGACACCTTCCCAAATAAGGATGGCTGTCAAAGCCATTATGGTAAAACCAACTTTTAGAATCAAGAAATGAAAGCAAATAGGGTTATCGGGTTCATTATTATTTCCCTGAATGTTTTCATTAAGAAAAAAAAACGTGGCCGATATAAGCAATGTCGTTAATATAAGAATGTGTTTTTTTGTTGTACAATTTAAATTGATTCCGAGTTAACCGCCTCTCACCCGCACTCCGCCTCCAACCGCCTTGACCCTCAAAGCAATTCATTCCAAAAACGCGCCGTTGACTTGAACAGCGTTCCCTGATAGAGGGCACAATACCCGGGCCCGAGACACCAACAAAAACACACCGGTAATAAAGGTGTTGTACCCTCAATCAACTACCCTGCCTTGTGGGAGTCAGGTTGGAGGGCAGGGTTTTTTGCAGTTCAGGAAACTTACATTACGTAGCAAAGACGAGAGTCCCAACGGACTTGCACAATGAATAGAGGCCAGATATGCCCGGTCTCGTGAGATCTCAGAAGCTGAGCAGGGCTAAGTCTGGTGCTTGTGATGGGAGACTGCCATCCCAAGAACCAGAGAGAGAGGAGGTCGCCGTGCTAAACAACTGGTGGTGATGGTGTTGTGGATCTTCACCCGGGACTCAGAAGTCTCCGTCGACTGCGAGTTCCCTGACCTCCAAGGGCAGGGACCTCGAGGGCCTGGGCGCCGTGCAGAATAAAACCCGGTGGGGACCTCAGGGCTCGGAGCCTGGAGCGCGGTGGCCACACCGAGTCGGGCGCCGTCGGTGGATCTCAGTGGAGGAGCATGCTGCCGGATCAACTTAGTGGAGTGTGTGGGCAGATCAACTTAGTGGAGCGTGTTGCTGGATCAACTTAGTGGAGTGTGTGGGCAGATCAACTTAGTGGAGCGTGTTGCTGGATCAACTTAGTGGAGTGTGTTGCTGGATCAACTTAGTGGAGCATGCTGCCGGATCAACTTAGTGGAGCGTATGGCCAGATTCAACTTAGTGGAGCATGCGGCTGGATCCACTTAGTGGAGTGTGTGGCCGGATCAACTTAGTGGAGCGTGTTGCTGGATCAACTTAGTAGAGTGTGTTGCTGGATCAACTTAGTGGAGTGTGTGGGCAGATCAACTTAGTGGAGCGTGTGGCCGCCTCCACTTAGTGAAGTGTGTGGCTGAATCAACTTAGTGGAGCGTGTTGCTGGATCAACTTAGTGGAGCGTGTTGCTGGATCAACTTAGTGGAGTGTGTTGCTGGATCAACTTAGTGGAGTGTGTGGGCAGATCAACTTAGTGGAGCGTGTGGCCGCCTCCACTTAGTGAAGCGTGTGGCTGAATCAACTTAGTGGAGCGTGTTACTGGATCAACTTAGTGGAGCGTGTTGCTGGATCAACTTAGTGGAGTGTGTTGCTGGATCAACTTAGTGGAGTGTGTGGCTGGATCAACTTGGTGGAGCGTGTTGCTGGATCAACTTAGTGAAGCGTGTTGCTGGATCAACTTAGTGGAGTGTGTTGCTGGATCAACTTAGTGGAGTGTGTGGCTGGATCAACTTAGTGGAGCGTGTTGCTGGATCAACTTAGTGAAGCGTGTTGCTGGATCAACTTAGTGGAGTGTGTTGCTGGATCAACTTAGTGGAGTGTGTGGCTGGATCAACTTGGTGAAGCGTGTTGCTGGATCAACTTAGTGAAGCGTGTTGCTGGATCAACTTAGTGGAGCGTGTTGCTGGATCAACTTAGTGGAGTGTGTGGGCAGATCAACTTAGTGGAGCGTGTGGCCGCCTCCACTTAGTGGAGCGTGTGGCTGAATCAACTTAGTGGAGTGTGTTGCTGGATCAACTTAGTGGAGTGTGTGGCTGGATCAACTTGGTGGAGCGTGTTGCTGGATCAACTTAGTGAAGCGTGTTGCTGGATCAACTTAGTGGAGTGTGTTGCTGGATCAACTTAGTGGAGTGTGTGGCTGGATCAACTTAGTGGAGCGTGTTGCTGGATCAACTTAGTGAAGCGTGTTGCTGGATCAACTTAGTGGAGTGTGTGGCTGGATCAACTTGGTGAAGCGTGTTGCTGGATCAACTTAGTGAAGCGTGTTGCTGGATCAACTTAGTGGAGCGTGTTGCTGGATCAACTTAGTGGAGCGTATTGCTGGATCAACTTGGTGGAGCGTGTTGCTGGATCAACTTAGTGGAGCGTGTTGCTGGATCAACTTAGTGGAGCGTGTTGCTGGATCAACTTGGTGGAGCGTGTTGCTGGATCAACTTAGTGGAGTGTGTTGCTGGATCAACTTAGTGGACTGTGTGGGCAGATCAACTTAGTGGAGCATATTGCTGGATCAACTTAGTGGAGCGTGTTGCTGGATCAACTTAGTGGACTGTGTGGGCAGATCAACTTTGTGGAGCCTGTTGCTGGATCAATTTAGTGGAGTGTGTGGCCAGGTCAACTTAGTGGAGTGTGTTGCTGGATCAACTTAGTGGAGTGTGTGGCTGGATCAACTTAGTGGAGCGTGTTGCTGGATAAACTTGGTGGAGCGTGTTGCTGGATCAACTTAGTGGAGCGTGTTGCTGGATCAACTTAGTGGAGCGTGTTGCTGGATCAACTTGGTGGAGCGTGTTGCTGGATCAACTTAGTGGAGCGTGTTGCTGGATCAACTTAGTGGAGCGGGTTGCTGGATCAACTTAGTGGAGCGTGTTGCTGGATCAACTTGGTGGAGCGTGTTGCTGGATCAACTTAGTGGACTGTGTGGGCAGATCAACTTAGTGGAGCGTGTTGCTGGATCAACTTAGTGGAGCGTGTTGCAGGATCAACTTAGTGGACTGTGTGGGCAGATCAACTTCGTGGAGCGTGTTGCTGGATCAATTTAGTGGAGTGTGTGGCCAGGTCAACTTAGTGGAGTGTGTTGCTGGATCAACTTAGTGGAGTGTGTGGCTGGATCAACTTAGTGGAGCGTGTTGCTGGATCAACTTGGTGGAGCGTGTTGCTGGATCAACTTAGTGGAGTGTGTTGCTGGATCAATTTAGTGGACTGTGTGGGCAGATCAACTTAGTGGAGCGTATTGCTGGATCAACTTAGTGGAGCGTGTTGCTGGATCAACTTAGTGGACTGTGTGGGCAGATCAACTTTGTGGAGCGTGTTGCTGGATCAATTTAGTGGAGTGTGTGGCCAGGTCAACTTAGTGGAGTGTGTGGCTGGATCAACTTAGTGAAGCGTGTTGCTGGATCAACTTAGTGGAGCGTGTTGCTGGATCAACTTAGTGGAGCGTGTTGCTGGGTCAACTTGGTGGAGCGTGTTGTTGGATCAACTTAGTGGAGCGTGTTGCTGGATCAACTTAGTGGAGCGGGTTGCTGGATCAACTTAGTGGAGCGTGTTGCTGGATCAACTTGATGGAGTGTGTTGCTGGATCAACTTAGTGGACTGTGTGGGCAGATCAACTTAGTGGAGCGTGTTGCTGGATCAACTTAGTGGAGCGTGTTGCTGGATCAACTTGGTGGAGCGTGTTGCTGGATCAATTTAGTGGAGTGTGTGGCCAGGTCAACTTAGTGGAGTGTGTTGCTGGATCAACTTAGTGGAGTGTGTTGCTGGATCAACTTAGTGGAGCGTGTTGCTGGATCAACTTGGTGGAGCGTGTTGCTGGATCAACTTAGTGGAGCGTGTTGCTGGATCAACTTAGTGGAGCGTGTTGCTGGATCAACTTGGTGGAGCGTGTTGCTGGATCAACTTAGTGGAGTGTGTTGCTGGATCAACTTAGTGGACTGTGTGGGCAGATCAACTTAGTGGAGCGTATTGCTGGATCAACTTAGTGGAGCGTGTTGCTGGATCAACTTAGTGGACTGTGTGGGCAGATCAACTTTGTGGAGCCTGTTGCTGGATCAATTTAGTGGCGTGTGTGGCCAGGTCAACTTAGTGGAGTGTGTTGCTGGATCAACTTAGTGGACTGTGTGGCTGGATCAACTTAGTGGAGCGTGTTGCTGGATCAACTTGGTGGAGCATGTTGCTGGATCAACTTAGTGGAGCGTGTTGCTGGATCAACTTAGTGGAGCGTGTTGCTGGATCAACTTGGTGGAGCGTGTTGCTGGATCAACTTAGTGGAGCGTGTTGCTGGATCAACTTAGTGGAGCGGGTTGCTGGATCAACTTAGTGGAGCGTGTTGCTGGATCAACTTGGTGGAGCGTGTTGCTGGATCAACTTAGTGGACTGTGTGGGCAGATCAACTTAGTGGAGCGTGTTGCTGGATCAACTTAGTGGAGCGTGTTGCAGGATCAACTTAGTGGACTGTGTGGGCAGATCAACTTTGTGGAGCGTGTTGCTGGATCAATTTAGTGGAGTGTGTGGCCAGGTCAACTTAGTGGAGTGTGTTGCTGGATCAACTTAGTGGAGTGTGTGGCTGGATCAACTTAGTGGAGCGTGTTGCTGGATCAACTTGGTGGAGCGTGTTGCTGGATCAACTTAGTGGAGTGTGTTGCTGGATCAATTTAGTGGACTGTGTGGGCAGATCAACTTAGTGGAGCGTATTGCTGGATCAACTTAGTGGAGCGTGTTGCTGGATCAACTTAGTGGACTGTGTGGGCAGATCAACTTTGTGGAGCGTGTTGCTGGATCAATTTAGTGGAGTGTGTGGCCAGGTCAACTTAGTGGAGTGTGTGGCTGGATCAACTTAGTGAAGCGTGTTGCTGGATCAACTTAGTGGAGCGTGTTGCTGGATCAACTTAGTGGAGCGTGTTGCTGGGTCAACTTGGTGGAGCGTGTTGTTGGATCAACTTAGTGGAGCGTGTTGCTGGATCAACTTAGTGGAGCGGGTTGCTGGATCAACTTAGTGGAGCGTGTTGCTGGATCAATTTGATGGAGTGTGTTGCTGGATCAACTTAGTGGACTGTGTGGGCAGATCAACTTAGTGGAGCGTGTTGCTGGATCAACTTAGTGGAGCGTGTTGCTGGATCAACTTGGTGGAGCGTGTTGCTGGATCAATTTAGTGGAGTGTGTGGCCAGGTCAACTTAGTGGAGTGTGTTGCTGGATCAACTTAGTGGAGTGTGTGGCTGGATCAACTTAGTGAAGCGTGTTGCTGGATCAACTTAGTGGAGCGTGTTGCTGGATCAACTTGGTGGAGCGTGTTGCTGGATCAACTTAGTGGAGCGTGTTGCTGGATCAACTTGGTGGAGCGTGTTGCTGGATCAACTTAGTGGACTGCGTGGGCAGATCAACTTTGTGGAGCGTGTTGCTGGATCAACTTAGTGAAGCGTGTTGCTGGATCAACTTAGTGGAGCGTGTTGCTGGATCAACTAGTGGAGCGTGTTGCTGGATCAACTTGGTGGAGCGTGTTGCTGGATCAACTTAGTGGAGCGTGTTGCTGGATCAACTTAGTGGACTGTGTGGGCAGATCAACTTTGTAGAGCGTGTTGCTGGATCAATTTAGTGGAGTGTCTGGCTGGATCAACATAGTGGAGCGTGTTGCTGGATCAACTTAGTGGACTGTGTGGGCAGATCAACTTTGTAGAGCGTGTTGCTGGATCAATTTAGTGGAGTGTCTGGCTGGATCAACATAGTGGAGCGTGTTGCTGGATCAACTTAGTGGAGTGTGTGGGCAGATCAACTTAGTGGAGCGTGTGGCTGTATCAACTTAACTTAGTGGAGTATGTTGCTGGATCCACTTAGTGGAGTGTCTGGCCGGATCAACTTAGTGGAGCGTGTTGCTGGATTGTGAAATCTATGAGTGGATAGTGGAGTGTGCGATTGAATCAAGTTCTGGATATATGGTGGAGGAAACCCATTTGAAGCCTTGACCACGAGTAGAAGGTTATGAAACTCAGTGCAAGTGTGAACTGGGAGCCAGTGCAGAGGCACGAGCCACAGGTGTGCGGTAAGATCCCGAAAGAGTGCGAGTGAGCGTCTTGGCAGGCACATTTTGAGTGGAGTGCAACGAACTTGTGCTGCGGAGAAACTGCTCCCATCACGGGAACGTGGAACGTTCAACTACCGGCTTCTTGCCACTAGACATGGAGATGGTCGCATGTTTATGGTCGCATGTTTATGCTCGTGTGGGCTCCAGGAGAAGGAGTTAAGATTTACAGGGCGCGTAAACGCCTCGACATCTCAGAGCACCTGCCATCACATCTCAACCATTACCCTTACTGTAGTCTATACAAGGAGATGCCCAGGAGCAGCTGTCCCTGTGCGGCACAAGGGATATGGTATCACTGGCCGGCCAATGAGCATTCATCTGGCAGGAGGAGGTCGATGTAGCGATTTTATTGTCCCCGTAAAGTGACCGTGACATTCAGGTGGCAAATGTGGATGGAGACGCTGCTACGCGTTGGCCTCTACTTTGCAGATCGCCATCCCGGGATCCCATCTCGGGATCTCGATCTCGGGATCGCCAATAATAATACTGCGCAAACCTCAGCATTAATGAGGGCGACTGCTGGGCTGGAACTGCGAATAGGATGCAATGCGCCACCGTAAAGCGACGTTAATCGTGGACAGAGATTCCGTGCGGCACAACAGCGGCTCGTGTGGGCACACAACTCACGGCATGGCCTTCAGGCTGAGCGCAGGAGCGATGTAGTTGGCCGGGATGAAGCCCTGCTGCTCCGTGTCGCCCTCTGGCTGAACCAGCCACCAGTCCACGTTGGTCTCTTCGATGACGTGAAAGCGCTGCCCCTTCTTGAAGCTCAGGTCGACCTGGGCCCTCGCGTCATAGTCGTGAACAGCAACGAAAATCTTCTTGCCGTCACCACTGTCACGATCATCGTCTTCATCGTCTTCATCATCTTCATCATCTTCATCATCGCTATCTTCACTGCTAGATGAAAAACCATTATTTCCGTGTGAGATTGGACCAGGCTTAGGCAAGTTCACGGAACGATGTGGAGGTGTGATGACTTCAGAGTCGTTATCCGGTTTAAGATTGCCTCTGGGATTGTTTCGACCATCAGGCTGAGTCGAAATGACGGCATCGGAATATCTCGATGGAGACTTGTTTTGCATGTCCGTGAGTGGTGGACTGTCGAGTGTAGCATTATGGAAGCAGCACAGATAACCCCGCAGTCTGTGACAGCAGCCAGGGCACGACATCGTTTGACGGTGTGCGGTGCGCAGGTGATGGTGGCTTTTGTTGTCCAAGCGATATCAGCCGGCGACGTTGTAACTCGCCACCCCCATTGTAAATGCACCAAACTCGCCAAGGTGGTGACATTTATACAGCGCGCTTCTTCCGCGTGTGACGGGGCGGGCAGGAATGTGCTCGCGGGTACGCGGAGGTATTACGACGCGGTGGCTGGAGCGAAGGCACGCGCCGGTGTTGCGATGTCAGTGCTGGGTGGGTGGGGGGCGGGGTTCACGTTCCTGAGTGATCGTGTCCCGTCCGCGGGCGAGCACACGCGGACGGCGGCGCAGCGGTCAGCGCTAAGCTGCGCTGCGAACCTGGCCACCCAAGTTCGATTCCCGCTCACGGCCAACACCGGAGACGATTATCTGAGCCGGTCCTGGGTCTCCCTTAGGTCGCCTCAGCCTCAAATGAGTACCTGGTGCCGTGTGTAGTAAACATCGCCACTGGGGAGACAAAGGCGGTCGGGCGTGGTGCTGGCCACCCACCCCCCTCGTGTGCCGCGCCGGCCTTCATAGGTGGGGCTCGCTAACAGCACTTGCCCCTTCAGTCTACTGAGGCTACACGGGGGATCTGTATGTGGTGCCCGATCAGAGGAACGGTCCTGCAGTGATTCAGCGCCTTCATGAAGACTCACGGCGACCCGAGTTCGAGTCCCGCTCTTGGGCCATCGGTGACGAATATCTGAACTGGTCCAGGGCCTCCCCTAGGTCGATTCAGCCTTAAATTAGTACCTCGTGTAGTATGTAAACGTCAGCACTTAGAGAGACAATGGTGGTCGGGATGGTGTTGGCCACCCCATCCATCCCCTCGTGCGCTACGTTGGTCTTCGCAGGTACTTGCTACTTGCTGACAGCGCTTGTTCTAACAGCCCGTGAGAGGCTATACGGGGCATCTTTGTCTTTTGTCGCTCACAGCCATGCAGACGTGCGGTAGATACACGCGTGCAAGTTAATGTCACGCGTGCAAGTTAATGCCACGTGTGCATGTTAATGTCACGCGTGCATGTTAATGCCACGTGTACTGTGCAAGCATTTTGGTTCATTTGGTCAAATTTATGCATAGACATCATAACAAATATAACGAGATTAAGCGATAATAATTTACAGCACTTGTTCAATGCACTGCTGGACGAAGGCCTCCATATGCAGGGTGCGTGATGGGTATTGTTTGACCATACTTCACCATGTTGGTCGGCGCAGGTTGGTTAAGGGAGGGGACGGGGCGGGGTTGATTCAGATATCGCTCGCCACTGATGTGAGCCGTGGCGCAGGAATGTTGCTCTAAGTCCGGTATTGCATGGACGAGCATGGTGAAGTGTGATCAAAGAACCACCGCGTCGGTCCACATGAAGTGCGGTATTCGACGACTCGGCAGTCGGCCTGCGGTGGTGCGGCGGTGCAGGGGGCAGCGACTGCACCCTGCAGGCAAGCAGCCGCTTGAGGGCTCATCCCGGGCCATGGCGATCGTGGGGCGAGGAGTGATATCCCGCGTGGCGTGGTCACTCAACACCCCATGGCCGACACAGTAATGGGAAGACCCTCATCCAGCTGTGACATTACAAAAGGGCGAGAAGAACAAGAACACTAATGCCGTACATGAACGTTCTGAAGAAAAAGCAGGTAACCACCACCACCACGTGACACTGCTTGAATAATGCACAGGTACCACAAAGACCCCGTGGTTATTGTTCACAGACCTGTTCCCCCACTCACTCAACTCGACTTACTGCTTAACACAAGACAAGGCTTCCCGTATAGCCTTGCCACACTGTTGGAGTGAGTGCCATTTTAAGTCACGCACGACACACGAGTGGGTAGGTGGCCAGCACCACGCCCGGCTGCCTTTGTCTCCCCAGTGGCGATGTTTACGCACCGCACCAAGTACCAAGTTGAGGCCAAGTCGACCTTCTTAACACACACACACAGCCATCAGCCTCACGTTCTCGTGATAATTATACTCGGGACGCCATCGCAAGCAGGAAGCTCGAGGGAAATTCCCCTTTGATGTGCCCAAGTGACGATGGGTCTCTGCGAATGAATTTCAAACTCGCACGCCACTTCACGGGACGTGTGGTGAAGCGCAAACGTGTTCCGTGCCTGGGACATTTTTAGTCAAATTTCATTGTTTAAAAATCCCCAAGAAGCCACCCGAGTGTGAGCGTCACGTAGCGCGAGGCTGCGTCTTGAATTTTTCTTTGCTAGAGCCGCCTCCAACTCACGACGGCGAGCATCGTGGCAGAGTAGAATTCTGGCGTCTCACCTCGTGTTGAGTACCAATACGGACCGTACCCCCGTGTACTCACTCTCCTGCAGTGAGTACCAATGGACTCACACCCCCGTGTACTCACTCTCCTGCACTGAGTACCAATGGACTCACACCCCCGTGTACTCACTCTCCTGCAGTGAGTACCAATGGACTCACACCCCGTGTACTCACTCTCCTGCAGTGAGTACCAATGGACCCACACCCCCGTGTACTCACTCTTCTGCAGTGAGTACCAATGGACTCACACCCCCGTGTACTCACTCTCCTGCAGTGAGTACCAATGTACTCACACCCCCGTGTACTCACTCTCATGCAGTGTAGTGTATAGTAGTGTAGTGTGTAGTGTATAGTAGTGTAGTATATAGTAGTGTAGTGTATAGTAGTATAGTGTAAAGTAATGTAGTATATAGTAGTGTAGTGTAAAGTAGTGTAGTGTATAGCAGTGTGTAGTGCATAGTAGTGTAGTGTATAGTACTGTAATGTATAGTGTAGTGTATACTGTAGTGTATAGTAGTGTAGTGTATCGTAGTGTAGTCTATAGTGTAGTGTATAGTAGTGTAGTGTATAGTACTGTAATGTATAGTGTGGTGTATAGTAGTGTAGTGTATCGTAGTGTAGTCTATAGTGTAGTGTATAGTAGTGTAGTGTATAGTAGTGTAGTGTATAGTGTAGTGTATAGTGTAGTGTATAGTAGTGTAGTGTATAGTGTAGTGTATAGTAGTATAGTGTATAGTAGTGTAATGTATAGTGTGGTTTATAGTGTAGTGTATAGTGTAGTGTATAGTGTAGTGTATAGTAGTGTAGTGTATCGTAGCGTAGGGTATAGTCGCGTAGTGTATAGTGTAGTGTATAGTGACGTGAGGCTGTAAAAGTTCAAGACTGCGGTGTCCGAAGCAGATGTTGCGTGACGCTGCTGCTGCTGTCGGGTTCCACCATGAGCCTCAGTGCAAGGTGAGAGTCGTGGGGCGAGGGGTGGTGCTGCGAATCGGTCGTGACGGCGCGACAACGAAGGTCGGCGCGACTTCATGATGAGTGCTGCTGCCAACAGGGAGCCAATGAAGAGTCGAGAGAGCGGTGGCCGAGTCGTAGACGCCGGTTACTAAGGACGATACGAGCAAGGCTGTTCTGGAGCCGTTGCGACTCGAGGAAGTTGCTTGATGATGACTTGGAGAGAATGGCATTAGAGAAGTCGAGGGGCGACCCGAATCTCCTGCAGGCGAGGATGTTGGCAATGTCCACGATAATGAGTGGACGTATGTGACGAGGAGCCTCGCGTTCATAGTTGCACGTTGTCATGATGATGTAGTGGACGTGAATGTCCAGAGACAAGGTGGAAGAATCCAGCGACCCCAAGGAACTTGATGCGCTCCGTAAGGGAATTGTAGAGCCGGCAATCGTGTTGTGGCAGGGAGCCGATGCCGGGTGCCAGTGAGTATGGCTGCAGATTTGGCGTCACTTCAGGAAAGATCATGCGACCAGAATCAGTGTTGTGAGGCTGTGATGTCCTCAGAGCAATGTTCTCTCCCTGTTGATGTGTACAACAAAATTCCATCACCATTGGACTGTTATTTAACTCCGCAGCTATGAATAAGTCTGCCGATGGGGGGATGTGTAGACAGCGAACCGTCGTGGTCCCAGCGAGGAGCCATGTGGGGGCACGCGCGCGTGCTTTGTGATGGTGGATGTGAAGTCGCCCATTGTAACAGAGGAGGGCCTCCCGGCCAAATAGGATGAGATCCATTTTAGGACTAATCCTTTTATTCCAAAGTCGTACTCACGAAGACTAGTAAGCTGGAGGTGATTAACAGTATCAAGAGCTGATGAAATGTCCCGACCAATGAGAGCCGAGATTGCATCGGAGGCGACGATTGAAAGAATGCCGTCGCAGACTCCGGTAATAGCAGTCTCGGTGGAGTAAGAATGACGGCAGCTTAATAGGAGCAAAAAGGTTTGTGGAAGAGGTAATGCGAGTCGTCTTCAGTTGAGCAAGACGCCCAAGAAGTTTCTAAATATATATATATAAATGTTGGAGAGGTTAGAAATCGGCCGGTAATTGTCGGAGTTGTCAGCGTCTCGTCCGGATTGTGAAGATGCGGTGGTGAAAGTTGTCCTGGTGGGAAGCATCAAGTGAAGCATGGTCGATGTGCGCAATCGCATTCACGAATCACCTTGAGGTCAATCTGAGGTCATAACATGCAAATGCGGCCAGCTGAGGATATGCATTCTCTTAGTAATATGTGAAGCGGAGTTAGTTAATGCCGCACGTATTCTCTTGAATGTTTTGGTTTATAACATGGTATACCGTAATTTAAGATTTAAAATTAATGCACTGCATTTCAATAAAATAATTAGCAGAATGTCAACTTGCAAGTATCCACTCTTCCCTCTCACAGATATAGCGAGAGGCGACTTAGAGGCGCCAGGAGGAAGAGGAACCACAGATGAGGACTTTTGACTTTTTTACAACTTTTAGCAGCAGCGGTGAGGAGGAGCCAGCACTGCTAACCATTGTCCACGCTCTGTGGTCCTCTGAATATAAAGTTGTTTCCAGACAATGATTGAGTATTTACATGTTGGAGAAAGCCGGAGCGCCCAGAGAAACCCCACGCGTGTGAGCGAGGGGGGAACACTTTATCCCGTACAGAAGAGAGATATTATATTGGTTAGCACTTTGCTGTACAGCCCTCTCCTGGCAAAGGCAGGGTACAGATAAACACAAGTACAAAATGGTAAGAATTTTTTTTTCAATTCCAACAATTAACCATAAATGCCAAAAAAAACTGTGTTACAAACGAAAAGATGATATTTTCGAAAAATAACTCGCGTCAAATCTCGTAGCACTA